GACCCTACTTACCACAAAGAAAAGGGTCGTATGACAACAGGACCAAATCAGAGACAGGACTAGGCTGAGAGCAAGAGAGTAAGGAAGAACCGACACCTTCTAGTGTCATAATTTGGTTGTGAGCCTAGCCTTTAACGGCTGAGCCACCTCTCCAATATCATAATTTGGATCCCAAAATCTAGTTGTACTCTGAACTAGACCTGGATGTTACATGTGTGAGTGGTTCCTTTCTTTCCTTTGGGTTGTGTTTTCCATTATTTAAACCAAAACATCCTAAGTATTTTACTCACTAAACAGATTAAAATACTTCATTCTGTTCACAGAGTGGAACAACAACAAAAGTACTTCATGAAGCTGAGCGGGGAGGGGCACACACCTTTAGTTCCAGAATTTAGGAGACAGATGCAAGAGGATCTCTATGAGTTCAAGGCCAGCCTAGTCTACATAGTGAGTGTCAGGACTGCCAGAGCTAGAGAGATCCTATCTCAAAACAAAACAAAACAAAACAAAACAAAACGACACAAACAAAAAGTGCTTCCTGGGCTCATCATCTTACTATTTATTCTTTGTCTGCTCTTCATTCCTTTCTCTCCTTAAGCAATCTGGTCCTAAGGCCATTAGGATGGATGGAGCAAGGCAAGCACCTGCTTTTGGTCAGAGAAAGCCTAGGTGAGGCAGAGCCTAGAATCAGAGTTCACATGCACTAAGAGCGGCATCCTTCGAGAATATCTTGACATGGGCTGTCAGAGCCTGAGCAGTGTGAGGAAAGACCACAGTGGAAGAGCAACCTTTAGCCCGCGTGGGTGAAGAGGGTGGGTCCACAGAGAGATAGTCTGTGCTTGGATGTCAAAAGCCCATTTAGATTCTGAATGCTGAATAGAGTAAGGAGGGCATCCAAATGGAATGCCATCTGGCCTAAGGAATCACAACCTAAACAAGACAAAGACAATATTTATATCAAAGGGAAGTCCAATATGAGACATCAGCCTTAGTAAGACTTCCAGGTAGCAATCAGCTCTGCATAGGGAGCCGGATCCTGAATGGGCTGAAGAGAGCATCGATATGAAAAAAAGCCTTGGCATGCATGGGGTGTTAGAGCCTAAGAAACACACTAGGCACATCTATGGAGTTGATGTGGTGAGGGGAAAGGATCTACAAATGTGGGAGGAAATGAGAATGGGTTCTGTTGTTTTGAGTTGGACATGGAGGTATTGGTGTGAACTCATGACTTTTAATATTAGTAGAGAAGTGTTTTATATTCACATGAACATGCATGTGCATATGAAAATTCTCTACCTTTGCCTTCTGGGAAACCCAAGAGTAGATCCTTGGGAGAAATGAGCACATGTGTAACTCACATCTAGGCCTTCAGTAAAAGAGACTAAGGTTGTTCCAGGGGAAGTTGATTCTTAAGGATAAAAACAAGTGAAGCATAAGCTCTACCCGGGAGATCTCAAAATGATGAAGACATGGCTAACATTTCTTTAAATACCAAGAATACTCAGAAATCCACAAAAAATTACGCTGAGTGAGAACAAGTCTTACCTAAGAGAGTGTATATTGCATGATTCTGTTTTTATTAGGTTCTAGACAAGAAAAATTATGGCGGAAAAAACCTCAGTGGTTGCTTTGGGAATTGTGCTGTGGGGCTGCATGGGGAAAGGACACGATGAGCTTTTTGTTCTATTTCTCCAAAGAAGCATGAGCTATACTGCTCACAGATTTGTCCAAACTCAGCAAACTTACACTTGAAGGCTACATACATTTGTGGGAATTTGCATTAAGAGAAAAAAAAACAGCATACATTGAACTCACATTAATTATATGCATATCTGTGTATTCAGGAAGAAGTGTACATTTTGCTTTGAGATATATCAAAATAACAGAAATAGATGGAAAGATAAGGAGTGAATAGAGTGACAACAAGAAGCCATAGGAAAGTGTCAGTGGTAGAGCTTATGCTGTGGCTGTATAGCTGCCTCATTATAAGGTTCTTTCAGACTTGCTGTGTATTTGAACATTTTTATCTCGCTTTCAGGCAGGAGGCTTACAGCAGGCAGATTGGGGTTGGCTAAAAGTTCTGAGGGTCAAGGAATCAGTTCATATACATATCATTCTTCTCATAGCTTTTTATCCTTCAAAAAATGCTCTTCCCAAAAGTTTTCTCTCAAAAGCTCTCTTTAAGATTTCTCCTTAAAAGTTCTCTCCAATAAGCTCTCTCTTAAAGCTCTCTTCTAAAAGTTCTCTTTAATAATTCTCCTAGAGTTCTTACTAAAATAGCTCCAAAAGTTCCTTCTCATGCCATAAGGCTTCTAGTTTTTATATACACAGGCAATTTACTCTTTGACAATAGAGCATGCATATCCCTCAGAGCCTTGAAGGCAGATAAAATCTTGAGAAATTTGGGCACATCAGGTCTGGTGCAGGGAGGGGGGCAGTGGGAGGGTGAGGGGATGTTGGTGGGGGTGTTGGTGGTGGGTAGACAAGGGTGGGGGTGCAGGACAGGACACATGACTTGCAACACATGCTGTTAACTGATTAAAGGGGACTTCTCAGCACTATGTAAAAGGGAAAAGCCAAGGCTACTAGTGTGAGAACCCCAGAGGCTGCAGCTCTTACCGCTGATGCCCCAGTGGAAAGGAATTCCTTTCTCTGGGGACTATTTGAGAATACAAAGTATCCAGTATATATTCTATATACAGCCAAATACATAGTAACAAATATTCTGGAGTTGATACCTAGAATATTGATTGCTACTTCTGTAATAAATGATAAAGGCTTGCAGCACATTTTCATAATACAGTGTTGAGCATGGGGAAGATGAGAGGACATAGAAGCTAGAAAAAAGGACTAAGTCTAGGGAAATATGAACATTAAAACAAACAATGATAGTATTGGATTATAATCCAATGACTAAAACAAGAAACTGATACTCTATTATAAACAAAACTTGACAAAAGAGAAAAACTTTTATAAAGTTTCAAAGTACATCTATAAAATACTATTCATAAACAGAAAAAAGTAACTTTAAAGTAGAAGGGCTCAAGAGAAAAAAATTATTTTTGGAGAGTTCTCATGTATCCCAGATTAGCCTTGAACTTGCTATGTAACCAAGACCAGCCTGCTTCTACAGATGCGCCCCATAAAACCTAGTTTATTAAGTGCTGGGAATCAAACTCTGTGTTTTGTGCTGGTGAGGCAAGTACACTACTTACTAGACTATATACCTAACACAGCACATATCATTTTAGTCAACTGATTTCTAACAGAATTCAGTAAAAGTACAGCATTGATTATGTGTTCTGATCCTGCTAAAAGGTGAATAACTTGGATTTAGCCACAAGGAAACATTAGACAATCCATGTGAAGAACATGCTACCAACAACCAGCTTACAATCTTTAAATTTATCATAGTCATTATAACCAAGAAAAGACTGAAGAATTTCTTAGGGGTTCCTAACATCACAGTTTTCTAGTAAAAGAATAGTATTTTTACGTCATCAAGAGGAAGTAAAAATATAAGAAAAAAGAAAAGAAAAAAGAAGAGGAAAAAAATCAGTAAAGAGGACAGGCATAGCCGGGTGGTGGTGGCGCATGCCTTTAATCCCATCACTCGGGAGGTAGAGGCAGGCAGATCTCTGTGAGTTCGAGGCCGGGCTGGACCGACAGCCTCCAAAACAATACAGAGAAATCCTGTTTCGTAAAACCAAAAACCAAAAAACAAAAAAAACAAGAGGACAGGCATAGGTGACTCACATCTTTAATCCCAGCACTCGGGAGGCAGAGGCAGGTGGATTTCTGTGAGTCTGAGGTCAGCTTGGTCTACAGAGAGAGTTCCAGGACTGCCAAGGCTGCACAGAGAGACCCTGTCTTGAAAAAACAACAACAAATCAGTATAGAGAATAAAGAATTAGTATACTGAAGAGGAACTTTAGACCCAGCCAGACTTGATAGTTTAGAACTTACAAAAGCAGAGAAATAAGAATTTTAGGCAATGATGCTGCACTGTTTGAGAACTTTAACCTCAGAGTGGAGTTCTTAATCAGCTCCCATACTGAATCTGACTGGGCTCCAGGTCTGGGCTTAAAACACTCTGCAACACACTCTACTCTTGAACACACATGTGTTCCTATCCATCTACATACACTCTGGCACTCACTGTTTTCCATTTAACAACTCTAACTTCTGGGTCTGGTGGTGAAGGCCTGTAATCCCAGCTACTCAGTGGGCTGAGGCAGGAGGGTTGAAAGTTCAAGGTTGGCCTAGATTACACAGCCAGTCTAAAGCCAGCCTGGAAAGCTTAATGAAACTCTGTTTTTAAAAAATGGCTGAGAGGCAGAGGTAGGCAGATCTCTGTGAGTTCAAGGCCAGTCTAGTCTACAAAAAGAGTTCCAGGACAGCCAGGGCTACACAGAGAAACTCTGTCTCAAAACAAAACAAAACAAAACAAAAAACAAACAAACAAATAAATAAAATTTAAAAAGTAAAGAAAGGGATAGAAAGGTACAGCTCAGACTGCTTGACCATCATACATGAGACTGTAAATTCAATGCCAGGATTGGAAAAAGGAAGAAAATTAAATGCACCAGCAGATTTGAAACAGTCAGTGTACGTGCGTGCACACGTGTGTGTTACACATATTTATGAGTGTGTGCACTTGTGCATGTGCAGGCCAGAGAAAGATGCTGGCTGTCTTCCTCAATTACTTCCTACTTTATTTTCCAGACAGGGTCACTACTGAACCTGGAGCTCACTAATTTAGCTAACTGGCTGAGCACTGCTCCAGTGATCCTCATGTGTCTGCCTCCCCAGTGCTGAGTTACCTGACCTCTGCTGTGCTTCCTGACTTTTATGCAGGTGCTGGGGATCCAAATTCAGCAAGAACTTTACCAGCAGATGCCTCTAATGCTTGTTTTTGACTTTGTGTGTACGGCATGGTATTGAGAAGCTGAGAGCCAGGTTAGTACCACAACTTAAACAGGAACATGCTGATATTTTACCTTTCTTCATTGACTCTCTTTCCATGCCCTCCTTATATGTATACAAGAGACTGTCAACGTCATCCAGATTGAGAAACCCTGAACCATCATTGTCCCACTTCTGAAAGAGGGCTTCTAGAAGAAGCACCCGCCGGACTCGGAAAGCATTCTGTCGAGCCTAGGATGCAAACAGGAAAATAAGAGCAGGAGGTACAGTCTTCAGTGTGGTGGCAGGCATCCCGCATTTAAAGGGAGTATAGCATCTCTTTTTTTTTTTTTAGAAACAACTTTGCTTTGAGGCCAAGGATATCAGAGGGAAATGCAGAGATTGATTTTAATCCCCTGGTTGCCATTTCCCTGTTTCACTTCTCAACCAAAAACATCCAGGAATTTGTTGTACAAGACCAAAACACTTTAGGTTAGAAATGGTAATATACTCCTTAAAGATTTTTGATTATTTCTTTTCACTCCCTCCCTGGTTATTCAAAATGATGATAAACACATGGTAGCTCTACCTAGCTATTTAAGGAAAGGAATGAATAAATCACAGTGTTCAAATAACAACAACAAAAATGGCTCTGTTAAAAAAAAGTCCTGTTAAAAAAAGCCAGAGAGGTGGCTCAGCAGTCACAAGCACATCCTGCTGTTCTTCTGGAAGATCCCAGTGCCCACATCTGACAGCACACAACTATCCACAACTCTAGCTCCAGTGGGTCTTCAGCCCCTTGCTCCATAGACACGTAGACTCATATGCACACAGAGACACACGTGTATACACAATTAAAAATAAAATAAATCTTTTCTAAAAGAAAAGAGGAAAAATGTTTGTATTTAACATTTATTTAACCTAACATTGATTTTTAACATTTTTAGATACTTTTATTAGATAAGAATTGACAATTACTGAATTACTATATAGATAAATTTAAATTTTAAAATGATGAATATGGGGACTGGAGAGATGGCTCAGTGGTTAAGAGCACTGGCTGCTCTTCCAGAGGTCCTGAGTTCAATTCCCAGCACCCACATGGTGACTCATAATTATCTGCAATGAGGCCGGGCGGTGGTGGTACATGCCTTTAATCCCAGCACTCGGGAGGCAGAGGCAGGTGGATCTCTGTGAGTTTGAGGCCGGGCTGGACCGACAGCCTCCAAAACAATACAGAGAAACCCTGTCTCGTAAAACAAAAAAAAAAATCTGTAATGAGATCTGGTGCCCTCTTCTCACATGCAGGCAGAACACTGCATACATTATAAATGTATAAATGCATATCTTAAAAATGATTAATACACCAGCCATGATGGCACAGTACTATCTATAGTCTCAGTACTCAGGAGGCCAGAGGTAAATCAAGTATTGAATAAACTCTGTGGGGCTAATTCCTACATTTCCCATGAAACAGAGTTGCTCATGTAAGGTAATGTGTGTGCATGTACTTATTACTCAAGAAAGCAGAAAGTGCTTAGAAAATGTGTGCAATTTCCTGGGGGCCCATGAATAAAAATACATATTCAAGGCATAAACATAGCCCTAAGTATGTGCATTTGCATATGCCCTCACATGGCAAGCAGTGCATACACACATCTTCACATCTACATATATCTGTACCTCGGGCTTCAGAGTATAGAGACAAAACTGCACCCGAGTCATCTCTTGCCAGAAACAATCACGTCATTTTTAGGAAAATGAGTTCTCTGGAGTGTGATCTTGACAATCAAAAAGGTTTTTAATGTATATGCTGGTTGAAATAAGTGGTGCACTGGGCTGTTCATTTTTATAGACAACACACAAGGAGCAACCGAGGTTGGGAGATTTATGGATAATAGTGGTCTTACTTGCTACCTTGGTAAATGATATTACCCACCTGTTCTAAGGCGTTTATTTTCTCCTGTTTTGTTTCAAAATAGTTCTTCTGAAAGAAGGAGGTAAGACTCTGGCTGACACTTAAGGGGGTATCTTCACCAACAAATGTCTCTAGGAGTTGTACAAACTGCAGCAGATTGAGGGAAACTCCAGTGAAGGCACTCCTCCCTTTTATTTCCTTGTAAGTCTGAATATTCCTAATAATTGCATGTAGGTCTGTGAAGCAGGAAAATATATCAGACAGTAAAGTAAGCACTTCTCTCAAATTTTATGGGGAAAAATAGGTCCCTGATATGATAGAAACCTGCCATCCCTTTGTTTTGGAGCAGGGGATTAAATGCAAGGCTTTGTACATCCTAAGCATGGGCAGTACCACTGAGCTAAACCCTGCCTCCAGCATCCACTGGTTCTGCCTCTCAGGAATCTGTACTCCTTCTATGATGACAGCATCCATAGTTTTCTTTGGTGAGCAGTTCTCTTCCATTGTCAAGTTTAAAGGAGGAGTGAGATGGCACTGAACCTTCCCACCCTTGTTCCATGGATGTATGATATAAGATTTGGGCAACAATTCATATATGCCAACAGCGCAGCCTACTACATAGGCCAACGAGAATTAGCTTCAGCACTATTTTGAGAACCACTAGGGAAATTTTTTGTTTTGTGTTCTGATTGCTGAGTTAGTAGAATGTGATACATAGACAGATGCTCCTGTGGCCATTTTTGAGACAATGTGAAGAAAACTGCCTAAAATTGGAATAGACACAGAGAATATGGCTGAGAGGCTGAGAGATGGTGTCCTCCGTTAGAGTTGGTCATGCATAAAGCCGTATAAATGCATTAGTAGATTCTACACACCAGCTCCTCTCCCCGAGGTTTTCAGCTAATATATTTGTCTTGGAGAGCAATGTGACAACATGAAGTATTTTTTCATAAAATGTCAGCTTACTGACTCATGTTTCATTTACTCATTGATTCAATCACTCATGCCATTGTGCCTTCTCTGGGATATGATGCAACTTAGAAATAATTGCTCATGAGATTTAAAAACATTGACAATAAAAATGGACATAGATGAAGAACATGAACTTGCCAGTCATAGGAGCTTGACAAACATCATAGGTGTTTTGAGGACAGGAAGTGTGTTATTTTTGCCCTGGGAAATGGATCAATGGGTAAAGTGCTTTGCTGAACAACCACGAGGAGCTGGATTTAGATCTGCATAAAAACTGGGTGTGGCAGCATGTGCCTATTACCCCAGTTCTATGGGATGTTGTGGTCAGGCAGATTCCAAGTAAATACTGAGCAGCCAGTGTAGCTGAAATGGCCAGCTCAAGGTTCCATGAAAGACCTTACCTACAAAACAGTAAGGTGTCAGCAACAGACATAATGCATGGATGCATGCACCCACACATAAGTGCACAAACATGCATAAATCACATGCACAAATACCAGTTAGTTAATTAAATTGAAAACAAAGTTTACTATTTGGTTCAGGCTTAAATGAGAAAAGATTGCATGTAGGATATAGTCTTAATCTAATTGTAATTACTTCTACTACTTAAAGTGATGGAGAAAATAACAAAATAGCATTTTAAAAATATGAGCATTACTTGAAACAACCGTGGCTATAGCATGTGACCTCTTTGAAAACTAAGAACTGCTCCTCCGTGGTTCGGTAGTTGTTTTCTTTAAGTCTTCATAAACAGGACAGACTCACCTGTCTGCCGTGTTTGGATATAGACCTACTAGGGAAATAAATCATTTATTATTTTTGTTGAGTTCTAATATCTAATATCTGATTCCTTTTGTATGCTTGGATCATGTATTTAGAGCAGTGGCAGGGTATGCAATAGTTAAAAATAAAGTACCGATGTCAGAAATTTTAAAGCCCAACTGAGAACATTCACCAATAGTATATGTCACCACCAAAAGCATACCACCACCAAAAACCCCGTCTTGATTCTGTTTAGGCTCGTCCATTCCCATGGGACAAGACAGTGTAAGGATGTCAGTGTGCTTTCATTGAGTCCAGCCTTCGTCACAGGGCATAGTGGTAAGCTAGGGTCATGTATTTCACTATCGTCTGTGCTTCCTAGTTTCTTTGTCAACATGTACCTGTGAATCTGGGGTCACCATAGATTAATTTTGCCTGTTCCTCATCCTCAGATTTGACATGGTTCATCTTCCAGTCACAGACCAAAAATTCACCTGTGAAAAACACAGTCAATTTCATTTCATGTTTAACAATGTTTTTCCTCTAGGGTACAAAGGAAAGAAAAGTTAAGTGAGGAGCTACCTGACCATGATTTTCCTTCTACATGTTGGGGCTTCGGGTCACAGGCTTTGTCTCTCTGAGAATCCTTTCTTGAAGCTCCTAACAAGAATAAAAGAAAGACAAGGCTGATGTGATGGCTTAGTGGGGAAAAGTACTTGCTGTCAAATCCAAAGACCCGAGTTTAATCCCAAGGATTCACGTGGTAGAAGAAAAGAACTGACTCCTGGAAGTTTTCCTCTGACCTTAACATATGTACTGTGACACATACGTACACACACACACACACACACACACACACACGCTCCCAAGAGAAAGAGAATTCCTGTGTGTATTACAAATAATATAGCCCATTAGACATTCTGAGTGAGCTTAATGAGGCAAATTCCTTGCATATATAGCAACCTAAACCCCAAGACGTTCCCAAAATGTGTGTCATAACCAACCACAATGAAATCATTTAATAATTTTAATTGTTGAGGGAGGCTCTGTTTGTTTGGCCACACAAAGTAAGGCTATATTTCCCAGCTTTTTTTTAAATAGCAAAGTGTTACTAGATGTCTAAATTCTAACCAATGAGATGAATACATATTAAAATTTAGGGGGTTGGAAAGATGGTTTAGCCATTTAAGAGCACTTGTGCTTGAAGAGGGTCTAGGTTCTATTCCCAGTTCCCATATGGTGTCTCTATCTGTAACTCCAGTTCCAGAGGATCCCACACCCTCTTTTGACCTCTTTTGACCTCTGACACATGGTGCAGACATATAAACAAGCAAAACAACCATACACATAAAACAAAATTTAAAAATACTTTTAAAAATGGTTTTTCAGCTGGGTGGTGGCACATGCCTTTAATCCCAGCACTCGGGAGGCAGAGACAGGTGGATCTCTGTGAGTTCAAGGCCAGTGGTCTACAAGAGCTAGTTCCAGGATAGCATACAAAAGCCACAGAGAAACCCTATCTCGAAAAACAAACAAACAAAAAATGGTTTTTAAAGATAGGATTTCTCTGTATAACAGTCCTGGCTATTCTGGAACTCACTTTGTAGAACAGGCTAACCTCGAACTCACTGAGATCCACCTGCCTCTGCTTCCCAAATGCTTAGATTAAAGGTGTGCACCATCACTGCCTGGTTAAAAATACTTTAAAATATTTAAAGTTCAGAGTGTTTTTTGGTTGAAATACAGATTTTGAAACTTTTTTTTTTTTGGTTTTATGAGACAGGGTTTCTCTGTATTGCTTTGGAGGCTGTCGGTCCAGCCCGGCCTCGAACTCACAGAGATCCGCCTGCCTCTGCCTCCCGAGTGCTGGGATTAAAGGCGTGCGCCACCACTGCCTGGCTGATTTTGGAAACTCTTATAGAAAAAAAAAGGCAAAAATGAAAGACGTAAAATCGTGGTTTTGCTTGTTTATTTTTCTTAGACAGGATCTCTCTATGTAGCCTTTACTGGCCTGGAACTCACTATGTAGACCAGACTGGTCTTCAATTGTAGTAATTCACTTTCCTCTGCCTCCTGAACACGGAGATTAAAGGCATATACCACCATGACTGGCCCATTTGTTGTTGAAATAAAAGAAAAATTAAAAAGTGACTAGCATTTAAAACAAAAATGTTTCTGCCTTAAAAAAACTAAAATATTGCTAGATCTCATATTGATGGACTTTCCGTACAAATAAAATTCTAGGTAAATTAATAATATGCATTCTGGTTTTCATTTAATAGACTCAAGTGTTGAGCATCAAAATCCATCTGTGGTTTACATGACGTGATACCTATGGCAGCAGAGATCTTAAATGAGTGCCATCTGAAAAGGCTTTCTAACAGCCACTCCAGAAAACAGAAAGACGCTTTTATAGAACCAAATAGCTACCTGGAAGGTGATCTTTTCTGCTGCTTTCTGATGGATGATCCTTTTTGCTGTGTGCGGGAACTTCCTCACGCTGTTGGGAATCCGTGTCGGCTTGCTCTTCACTTAGGATCAGTAAAGGTTTTTCTTCTTGAGATTCCATTTTGTCAAATTTGGAAGCTTCACTTTCTTTTAAAGTGCTGCTTTCTTGTAATTGTAAGGTTGAGTCTGATTCCTGTTCTTCTGGGATGGTATCTATCAGTAGTTCCTGTTCTGACTCATACTGTGGCTCTTCTGAAATGGACTCTTTTTGTGGTTCATATTCTGAAAACGACATTTTGTGTTCCCCTGACCCTTTGCGCTGACCTCTGGATCCTTTGCGCTGTTCTTGATCCATTGCTGATTCTCTGGGCAACCCAGCTTCTGAACCCCTAGGAGACTCCATATCTTCAGACGACTTTCCGTGTTGCTCTGCTATTGATGCCCTGTGTTGCTCATGTTCTGAAACTGACCCTCTGTGTGATCCTTCTTCCTCTGTGACTGACCTTCTGTGTGGTCCTTGCTCTGACACGAGTTCTCTGTTTGGGTCTTGCCCTGTCTGCGGCTCTTGTTCTGCTGCCGAACTTCTTCGGGACCCTTGCTCTGCAGCCGACCCCCTGTGTGATCTTGGCTCTACTACGGAGCTTCTGCGAGACCCTTGCTCTGCCGCTGACCCTCTGTGTGATCTTGGCTCTACTACGGAGCTTCTTCGGGACCCTTGCTCTGCCGCTGACCCTCTGTGTGATCTTGGCTCTACTACGGAGCTTCTTCGAGACCCTTGTCCTAAAATGGATGATTTGCGCCCTTTGCCCTGTCCTTGTCCTGAAAGTGACCCTTTGTGGGGTCTCTGTGAAGCCTGATGTGTTCCTGGCTCTGTGACTGACTCTGGGGATGGTTCTTGGTCTGCACGTGTCTCTCCCTTCTGTTGTAGGAGATTTTGATCTTCTTGGAGTTTGCTAGCAAGCTTTGTAGCAACTAACAAATTCATCTTTAAGAGCAGCGTATCAAAATCTTCATAAATATGCTTCTTAATATCCATATCTCCCCAGAACTCAGACAATTCTATTTCCTCAAATTCAATAAGTGGCCCTAATGCAGACAACAAAGGATTAATCTAAATTATTGATCTTACAGTACAGAATCAGAATTATTGAAATGATGCAAAAAATAGCACTGAGGGCAGTAACTGTAACATAAGCTTATTACTTTAAAAATAAATATCAGAACTGCCCAGCACTTGGGAGGCTGAAGCAGGCAGATCTCTGTGAGCTTGAGTCTAGCCTAGTCTAAATAGTGAGTTCCATACATAAAGAGATCCTGTCTTCAACAACAACAAGCCCAAATAAACAAACAAAAGAAAATCAGGTATCTTTTGCTGCAACTACATACTCAAAGGAACATAAAGAATTCTCACTATGAATTAATTATCAACCCTTCCTGAAAGGAGTGGTTTACAAAACGAACATATCTTTTCTTTTGCTATTTGGAGTGTTGCTTAGATTGCTAAAACAATTGAAATTTGTCCCTTACTTCTGTGGTCCCTTTCCACACAATATGTACAGCATAGAGATGGGGAGTGGAACTGTCTTTCCGTCTCAAAGTATCTACAGTACAAGCTGGAGAGATGTGCTTGTTGCACAACACTGATGACCTGAGTTTGATCTCTATAGACCACCTAGAAGTAGAAGAGAATCGATTCCACAAAGTTTCCCTGTGACCTCCACATGTGCACTGTGGCATGCATGCACCCCACCCAACACAAACATCACACTCAAATAATAATAAATTAAAAATTAACAATCCTACCCTATATAGGCATAAGCTAGCAACTTTTCACTGGGTTCCATCCCTTCGTTTTCCTTCAATTCTACTTTATTTCTCAATTCTCCTTCTCTGACTTAGGTGGGCACATGGTTTGGAATTTCCTACAAAGGAGTTATCGTGAAGCCCAGGGGTAGATTGCATGCTTAATATGAGTTCGGTTTTTAGTAGAGAAGAAAGAAAGGGAGGGAGAGACAAAGGGTGAGATGGAGGAAAGAAGTAAGGACTTCAGGGAAAGACTGAAAGGAAAGACAGAAAGGCTCCTGCTGTTGATCCCAGCAGCAGAATCTGATGGCTACAACTATGCTGGCTGTTACCCCAGGCTAGGGAGCGATTTAGAGTCCCCAGGACTTGATAGGCTACATAGTGACACTCACCCCTCGAATAAAACTCCACAAAATCCTGTCTGTCCCCATTCTTCTCAAAATACTTAATAATTAAGCTATAACATTGTGGCTCCTACAGCTTTCAGTATACCACCTACAGATTCTTAAGTATCCAAGTAATAAGTCTACATGCAGGAATAAGATATTAACATCACTTAGCAAATTCAGCCATTAAAAGACATTCTCTTTCAAAAATAAAAATAGGGCTGTTATTAAGGCAGAGGGAAGATCTGAATTGGATCCTCTGGCTCCACATGGTGGGAGGAGAGAACTTACAGCTGCCTTTTGATTTCCATGGGAATGCTATGGCACGTTCCCTCCCATAATAAACAAGTGTTAAAAAAATCAACAACCCTGCAATGGTATATATTGATAAACACATAAAAGACTATTTTAACATGCTAAGTACACATGTATATTTTACCACAAAAGCAATGTAAGTAAAACTGCTTGGGAAAAGAAATATCTCCCACAGAAATCTTAGAATTCTAAGTTGGACACTGCAAATGGAATAACCATTCTAAACTTAATTTCTAAGGCATTCAAATTATCACCAGAGCCTTTCTTCACTGAAACACATTTAAAAGTCGTTCTAAGTTGTTCTAGCTGAACTCTTCTGTGACAGAAGTTTGAATGTAGCTGTGAAGAAGAGCGAATTCTGTGGGAATATGAACAAGTAGATAAGGTATGGCTGCCATGACTTAAGGAGATGATAGTAAGTGACAGCCTTGGAAGTAAAATGATCCCATGTGATCTACTGCTGTACTTTGACACCCAACTTCAGTACACCCTTACCTCTGAGCAACACTTACATTGTCTTGGGTTTCGGAGTAAACTCCTAGTGGTGTGTGAACTTTGATCATAGAATGTTTCCAGCAAGGCCAGTGTCCTCTGCCGATCCAAGACCTTCACCTACTCAGAAAGTTTGCAACTAGTAACTGCAGCAGATTTAAAGCTTTTATGATGCTAGATCATGACTTTCTGAGTAGTTTCACATTGTGACCACCACCAACTCTACCATTATCATGAAAATAAAAACTACAGCATCAAAATCCATAAGCTGGATCTTATATTCATTTCTCCAATTTTGTTACATATCAAAACACCTTGGGCTTAGTAGATATTTAACAAACATTTGTTGTGACTGACTTTACTTAATGAACTCAATACACAGTCCTCAGTTCTTATCTGGTCTGTGCACATCACAGGCAACTGCTCTTTACTTGTTCTTTTATACATTATTGTGAGAAAATTTTCATGACAGAAAAGCATAAAAAATGGTAGAGCTAACACCACCTGTGATCTTAGTAGCTGGAATTAACAACTGTTTAAAGTTAATTACAGGGCTTAGGAGATGGCTCAGTTGGTAAAGTGCTTGCCTTACACGCACAAGGATCTAAGTTCAGTCCCCAGAACCCATAAAAACGAGCTGCGTGTCCTTGTAATCTCAGCACCGGGGAAGAGGGGACAGGTGGATCCCTGGGGCTCTCTGGTCAGCCAGTCTAGTTGACTTGGCAAGTTCCAGGCAATGAGAGACTCTGTTCCAAAGAAACAACAAAAAAGAACACCCAAGGTTCTCCTTCAATTTCTACACATCATAAACATGCACACACACACAAAAAAGTATGATAAACATGCACACACACATAAAAAAGCACACACAAGAGTGATTAGACTGATAAAATATATGTATCATTGCCATTTAAATTGTGTTTTTGGCAGGGGGTTGAGGCAGGTATGGCTTGAGATTTGGTAAGTAGCCCAGGTTGGCCTGGAACTCAACATTCTCTTGCTTTGTCTTTCCAAGGTTTGGATTACAGGTGTTCAGCACCATGTCTAACTTTCAGAGTGATTTTTGTTTCTTCAGCTTTGAGATCTAAATTGTGTAGATAAATATATTTTGTTCATTTTAGGGGTTGGAGAAATTGATTAGAAGTTAAGATAACTTGCTGTTTTGGCAGGTTCAGATCCCTGCACCCACATGTCAGTTCATAACCATCTATAGTTCCAGTTCCAAGGGATCCAATTCTCTTTTCTAGCATAGTCTCTGAAGATCACATGAACTATGGTCTTCTCATCTGTAGGCACCAGGAATGCATGTGGTGCATTTACATACATTCATACATGTAAGGTAAAAACTAAATAAAAATCTTAAAGAAAAAAAGAAGTATATTTTACTCATTTTATCTGCTACATAGTAGAATATGAAAACATTGTAATTTCTTAGCATTTTTTATTAATAGAAATTAGGTTACATCTGGTATTTTGAGACAAATGTGCTGCGATGAATAATATTATACACAACTTCTAGTGTGCATTTAGACACATTTTTTAAATTATATATGTGGAATTACTATCAGTATTGCTTGTAAATGGGTCTGTTCTCACTTCTGAGCTGTGAGACTAATACCAACCGAGCTGTAAAGGAGACTGAGATGTTCCCTGCTCCCCCAGCCTGTTGTCTGGGGAATTCACCCAGACTCAACTAGTAGAAAGCTTTAGGGGTTCCAGCCTGGCTTAGTATCTGAAGATCACATGACCTATGGTTGTCCCTGCCATCTTCCCATCTTCCTGTTCAGCTCTGAATTGCATTTTGACTAAAACGGCAGCCACAGAGCTTCTCCAGATATTTCTAGCTGGCTCTTTATCTCATTCCCATGGATTCCTTTAGAATTTTATCAGTTTTCCAGCTCTGGATTCTCAGACCTCTTTGAAATTCTTTACTTCTTTAACGCCTTGTAGTCATTCTGTAACCCATACACAGATACTCAGACAGACAGACAGACACACACACACACACACACAGACACTCAGACATAGAAACACACACACATATACACACACAAACTTCCTTTGTTTCTGACTTTCAGTTTGCTTGTTTGTTGGTTTTGAAATACAGTCTCTCAATATCCCTGGCTGATCTGGAACTCACTATATACGCCAGACTGGCCTCAAAATCACAAAGATCTACCATCCACAGGATTTTGTAATTGAGGAAGTTTGAAGATCAGATATTCTGATCTTATAATACAGAAAATTTAGCTTTTCTTATGGTGACCTGAAATGAGAATCTGGGTCTTTCTAGAAACTTACATGTGATCACCGCTTCTCCTTCAAATGCTACAGCCAATATGTTATCATTCTTAGAGCACTTCCTGGACAGGTAAGCATTTCTTCAATATCTCTGTGTCTCTCAAGAACAATGCCACAAGAATCATCCTACCACTAAAGCTGTTATTGTTATGGGATAAAAAATTCTGGAATGGGTTCAGTTGTTTGAAGTGTCTGTGTGTGTGCTCGCGTATGTGGGTACACACGTATATATTATTTATTTAAATATGTCTATATGTGTATATAGATATAGATTGTTTTACAAAGATACAATAACTATTAACTTTCACTAGGAATGTTTGGGAAAATGTTTTCTCTCTATTGAGCATACAGTGATCCTAGAAATTGTGTGTTTGTGTTCTTTGTGCACATTTCTTCAGGTGTTTATATGGCATCCTGACATTAGGTGCCAGGCAAGATGCTTGTTGACTATATAGACATCATGTTGCTTACTCCTTTGGAAGTTTTGTTACAGTTTTTATTATCCATGCTCTGGGTGCCTTTCTAGAGATATTCTTGGAACTTCTCTGCACAGGTGACCCCTTCACAATGCATACTAAGAACAGTAATCATTGGCTGTCAGCGTGAATAGAAAATGCTCTTGGGTCCTGAAATCCCCCACCATGCTGTCTACTTGGACTTTCCAACTCTGATTAGGACCAAGGAATGGAGACTCAGGTAGTAACCTAACTTAGAGAACCAGACAACCTCTAAGTTAGTCGCAGTCTCTAGCCTCCTACCACCAGCTGGCTCCAATTTCCTAGTAAGATATAAACTGTTTTTTGTTTTTGTTTTTTTTTGTTTTTGGTTTTTACGAGACAGGGTTTCTCTGTTTTGGAGGCTGCCGGTCCAGCCTGGCCTCGAACTCACAGAGATCTGCCTGCCTCTGCCTCCTGAGTGCTGGGATTAAAGGCATGCACCACCACCGCCCCGCTGATATAAACTCTTTTGATACCATTTTTGATACTATTATTTATTCTTCCTTGCTCTAAGATTCTCTAGTCTTTCTAGAGAATCTAGTATTTTTATATTAAAATCCAGGTTTTCTAAATGTTTGTTTCAGCCACTGCTGAAAAAAAAATAACCATACAGAAATTCAATTGACTTTTGTATCCTGGATTCTACCTTCTTTCCAAGATCACCACATGACTGCTTAATGATGGGAGGAAAAACAAGAAGCACAAGCAAACCACTCAAACCACTACTAATTCCTCCAAATATTATCCCGCCATGTTGACCATGGCACTGGAGTTGCTGGTTGCTGCTAAATTAACTGGCCAACAGACAGAAGTTGCCTTCTAGGCATTTTACCAGGAAGTAAAAGAATATGGCACCAGAATAACCTAGCAAGTTCTGACAAAGAGGCACTGTAACGTGAAAAATAAAAGGTCCAGAGACAGATATTGGGGTTCAAACTTCAAGCTGAATATCAGAAAAGCAAAGCAGCTGGCCACCAGCTTCTTACCACTGCATCAGGCTGGATGGGCTGATTCTGTCTCCATGAGCTCTCACCAAGCCTCAGACCATAACTTCTCCTATCCATGTATTATCATCATAGTCATAAGCTTCAATATTAATTGAATCATGGATGCAATCCTCTAAAGGTGCTGATTTTGCTTTTAAAGGCATAATTATCCTTTTACATTGGGCATTAGCATTCTAAAAAGCCATTATTTCAATTATTATTTTTCTAGCTTCTGTGTCTGGTATCATTCTATTGACTGCTAATGACAGCCTTTGTAAGAAGTCCGTGAATATAAAATTTTAGGATCTACCTTAAGGGAACAAAGAGACTGCTCAGTGGTTAAATGTATTGGTTGCTCAATTATGAGGGCTGAGTTCAAATTCCAGCACCAAAGTAGAGTCACAAATGCCTATGATTCCAGTTCTGAGGGATCTAAACCCTTTCTGGCCTCTGTTAACACTTGCATACAGAAGAAATAGACTTAGAACAAGTTGAAAATGTTGAAAATCAAAGCCACTCAAGGTGTGGGACAGGGTAAGCCCATTCAGTAGTAAGAAAAGTACAAACACAGAAGATGTAGAAAATTTTATAGCAATTTGAAAAAGTAGCTGATAAGTCAGATTTTAATCAAATAATTAAAAAAGCCAATTATACTCTCTGTATTTGTGTTCTGTGTTGCTTTCCCCCCTCTGTAAACAATTTCGTTATCAAATGGTGGTCAGTGAGCCACCATTATCAAGCCTGATATATCAGAAATTAAAACATCACCAACAAGCACCACATCAAAGCTGGTTCCTCACAATGAACAGTGTGGAAGCAAGCTCTCAGTGTCTAACCTACCTTACTACTGTCACAAAGCAGGAAGAGTTCAGCAAACATCTGTCTCCGAATGTCAGTTTTTATGATCTCCCGGAATTCTTCTGCATAGTGGCAAAGATGTTTAAGGAGTTCCTCAAAAACTTCACTTTTCAAGTCTGCAACGTGTGCAGAGATGTACTGCAGAAAAAAGTAGGATAAGTGACTTAAAACCACGTTCTTCATTTGGGTTTTCCCAATGGTTTTCAGTTCACGTATACAAATGATATCAGCTGTAAAATGTTTCCACTTATCATTCAAAGTGTTTTCATGTAAGTGCCCATCTGTGTATCTGTGTGGGAGGAGAGAGAGAGAGAGAGAGAGAGAGAGAGAGAGAGAGAGAGAGAGAGAGAGAGAGAGAGAGAGAGAGAGAGAGAGAGAGAGAGAGAGGAGAAACAGTCTTGATATTCTCAAAGTCTCTGTTCTGGTCTATTTCTAAAGCCCTCGGATCCTGAGCCTTTCTCTTTCAGCTTTTTCAGTTGGTTTCTAGTTCTTGTAATTAATATGTAATACATACATGTGAAAAAGTTCCATTTTAGTAATTTGCTACAGAAACCAAGTCATTTGTTTTAAATAGAAAATGTTTTTATATATTCATGAGCACATTTAAAGTATTTTTAAGTTTATTTTTATTTTATATTGTGTATATGAAACTTTTCCTGCATGTGTGTGTATGTGTACCACATGGATGCCCAGTGCCGTGGAGGTCATAAGAAGGCTTCGGGTCTCCTGAAACTGTGAGCTCCTATGTGGAAGCGTAGGACCAAACCTGGGTCCTCTGCAAGGGCAACAGGTGCCTTAACCATTGAGCCATCTCTCCAGCCCAACATGAGCACATGGTTAAAGCTGATTGTTCATCTTCTCACTAATATCACCCAGGCACATTTAGAATGCAGAACGTAAAAGACATTTTGGGCTGTAGAGATGCCTCAGCAGTTAAGTGCACTTGGTGCTTAATCATGAGGACCAGAGTTCAAATACCAGCACCCATATCAGGTGGCTCACAAATGTCTGTAACCACCTTCAAGGAATCTAACACCCTCTTCTGACACCTGAAGGAATCCCCACACATGTGTGTATACAGTTGCACAGATGGAGACACAAGCATATATACACATATACTTTTTAAAAAGATGCATTATACTTGTAGCCATGTAAATGAATTATAAACTATTACTTGATTTGCAAAAACAGGTTAGTTCTATTACTTGATTTGCAAAAACAGGTTAGTTGCTTGTTTGGAGGCAGGGTCTCACCTTCAGCCTGGCCTCGGATTCCTTTGTAGACAAGACTAGCCTTAAATTTCTGAACTTTTACCTCTACTTCCTGACTGCTGAGATTACAGTTATGTCCTACCATGCCTGGATTCTGCTGTGCTGGGGTGTGGTAGGAACCATTCTACCAACCAAGCTCTACCCCTACCACCAGTTGTCATTATTCTTGATGGGTCAATGAGCACAGTTAAGTTCTAATCTAATAACTGGAGAAGCAGAGTGGTACAAGGGGTTAAATTTTTGTCTGGATTCAAAGTCTAGTTTCTATTCTCTTTCACTAAAAAATGGGTATCATGGCAGCAACTGTCTCAGCGGACATGGTGAGGTCACAGAAATGGGCACACAGTATGCCCAGGATCTGGGTATTCCACACAATAACTTTATAGCCATTTTTATTGTTTACTCCACAGCTTGTTGAGAAATTGGCAAATGTCATTTTCTTTATAGAATAAAACAGTCCTTCCAGAGAACAGAAACTATATTCTTAGAGGAGGAGAGCTGAATGAGATCAGTGATTTTTACAGTGTGGTCCATTCACCAACAGCATTGCATAAGAATGTGCTGGGAATACAGTTTGGAGCTGTGCCCCTGAGTTACTGCATCAGAAATCCTGGGGTTGAGATCAATCTGTGTTTTAAGAAGCCTTATGGAGGATATAGGTTTGCTGAAGTATGAGAACAACTGAGCTGGATGATGTCAGGTAATTGGTCCTAATTAGTTCAGTATCCTGAGATCTTATTGTTTAGCACTAATGACTCTTAGCTTGATTAGTAGACATTTTTAAAATTTACTCATTTTATAGAATATTGCACAATTGACATTTTTTATATTGTGGATCAATCCTCTAATATTGAAAAATATTGGTTCATGATAAATATCGTTCTATATTTTATTTAGCTTTTGGGAATTAATGCTAAAGCTATGTGAATTTTTTGGTTGTGGGGATTCTATTGAATCAAGAACTAGCTAAAAAAAACCTCTGTCTGAAAGACAGTTAAACACCCTGGATTCATAACCTATATGTTTTCTGAGTGAGCATATTCCAATTGTGAAATGTGTCTGTAATGTAACATAGAGATTACCAGTCATTCACCTAACCACACATTCAATTCTAAACAGAACAATTACAGAAAGTTAAATGTCCTTATAAGAACAGAAGAAAAGTGAAGATACATGGGTGGCCTGTGTTTTTATAACCTTGCAAAGTATGAATTAAAACTTAATGACCATCACTTTAAAAGCTCTGTGAGCTGCTTAACATTTGAATTGCCTTTTGTCAAGCTACCTCTCTGAGCCAGGTCTAAAAAAAATACTCTCTCTGTGTTTTTCTATTCTGATTTGACGTTGAGAACATGGCAAATGTCACATTTAATCAATTGGTAGCTGCTGTCAAGAGTCTACTCTGTTGGGACATCAAGAATCGTGCTTATTTAATTGCAGAAATAATGGAGAGTTCACAGAGTAGCCAGTGCAAGAGCAATGGGAAGAGAACCATGTTTAGAAATTGTCTCGCTGAGGTATCTGTAAGTCTTGGTAGGTAGTAACTCCCAACTTGTATCTGTAAGTCTTGGTAGTTCACAAGGAGTCTGCAAACAAGGCGTAGAGTATACAAGTACAGATTGTGTTTGTGATCAAGCATTGAGGAAGTGGTTTGTTTGTACAGACTTTGAGTAGAAAACTAGCTTCCCAGTTTCAGAAGGGGCGTTTAAACAAGAACAATTATTGAGGGTTGGGGATACAGCTCAGTGGTAGAACATTCATTCAACATGCACAAGGACCTGGTCTTGATCCCAAACATTATATACAAAAAGGTAATTATAGCTAGTTCTACACTAAGCAGTACTACTTTTGAGTCTTGGCTTTTTAAAATTCTATCTAGCAAATTAATTAAACAAAGGGCACATTTAATACTCAGTAAAAGTAAAAAAATATAACTAAAACATACAGTGGTGCCCCTTATTAGTGAAATATAACAGGTAATGACATGAACTAGGCAGTATTTTTCCCCAAATTCCTGTTGTGGGCCTAATTCTTAGTATCTCAGAATATAACTATATTTGAAGAGGTAGTTAAATTAAAATGGGGCTTTTAGATGTAGGCCCTAATCTAGTAGGACTCCTTGTATGAAGAAGAAATTTGGACACACACAGTTGAATGGATATGTGAAGGCACAGGGGGAAATTAGTCATCGATAAACCGAGGAAACCAATCATTACAGGGGATAACTAGTCCTCTATAAACCAAAGAGACTGATCATCACAGGGGATAACCAGTCATCTATAAACCAAGAAGACAGATCATCAACATAAACCAACCTTGTTGACATTTGTCTCAGATTTCTTTTTTTTAAATTTCTATTTTTAAAATTTAAATTAGAAACAAGGTTGCTTCACATGTCAACCCCAGGTCCCTCTCCCTTTTCCTCCCCTCCTCCCACACCCTCCCACCAACCCCCCCAGCACACCCTCCTTTCCCCAGGGAGGGTGAGGCCCTACATGAGGGTGTCCATAGTCTGTCATTTCATCCAGGGCAGGGCCTAGACCCTCCCCCCATAGTCTAGGGTGAGTGTGCATCTCTCATTGTGGGATGGGTTGTCTCAGAGTTCTAATCTACAAAATTATAGAAAATAAACTTTTGTTATTTTATCCACTCAATGTGTGGTACTTTGCCATTACAACACTAGCAAAGTACTCCAGGGGATGAGAAATTGCTGGTCAGTCAGTTCCTGTTATGTATTTCTTACAGAAGAAGACTGTCCAGGAAGAGACACACTGACTTAGAGGCTTGTTCACCCTTCCCTTCTCATTTCTCTGGCAGAGAATTCTCTCTGCCTTATCTTAAGAAAGCAGTAGAGACACATCTGTGAGCTTTCATCCCCTCCCTTTCTGTGATGTCCCCTGTTATGACTCAATGATTGCCATTTTCCCAAACATATTCCATGATCACATGGCAACTGAATGGTATAGTCTCCACTCTGTAGCACTTGTAGTTAATATCTTGTCTTTAAGGCTAATCTTAATATTTTCTTCCAGTTTCATAAGCAGATGCCAATAAAACACCCTTAAAGCAAACTACATGAGAAGCAAGTGACATGAGCCAGGTACTGTGGCTTGTGCCTAGAAAACCACTGACGTGAGGGGCTGAAGTAAGAGGGTAGAGTTCAAGGCCAGTGCGGGTTATTTAGTGAGATCTCATCTCAAACACGAAACAGCAAGCACTCAAGGCACTATGTGTGCCACACAGGATGGCCCAGTGATTTCTTTTTGGTCAGATCATTAAATATTTTCATGCAAGGTTTTCCTTGTTGAGATAAGGCCTCACCATGTGCTCTCTGTTGGCTTAGCTTAAGAAACATTTTCTTGGGTTTTACCTAGGTAAGTGTTTTCTTGAAGTGTCTGATTGTGTAATGTTTGCATTTAGGAAGAGGTGTTCAGACATGTTAGGAAAACTAATGTTAACAGCCTAGCCCAGCAAATAAGACAAAATTAATACACATAATTAAAGGAGATAGTGTGAAGCTGATGAATGCCTCATAGATCCATTAGCATTCTACATACTATCTTTTCCAATAGGGCTCAACCTAGTGTTACCTTCTCAACCTTGATCTCTGAGTCTTATCCTTATGATACAGTTATAAAAAATTATCTCATGCCATATAGAAAAATGTGTTTTTTAGTCTTTTATACCTTTGTGACTTTTCTGTAATTGTAGTCCATGATAACAGCAGATAGAACAAAGCCTAAAAAGTGGCAAGACATCAACAAAATAGTTGGATATCCCATTTTATAACTTCTTCATCTGAGTACACATTTACCAGTATTCCATAAAATTAGATATAAGGGGCTGGGGGACATGGTTCAGTTCCTA